TGATAGGTGGATGGTTGGACTGGATGATATTATAGGTCTTTTCCAACCTCGGTGATTCTATAATTCTTCTTTTAAAGCCTCAGCTTTGGTCCAGAGGAACCCCTTAGAAGTCATGCTGCCTATCCCAAACCAGACAGTTGGGCAGAGCAGTCGTCACCCACAGTCACCTTTTCAGCCACTGTGATTTTCATTTGTGTAACTCTGGGCGGGCTGTCACCTTCACTTATGTCTTTCATGACATTTATGTCCCTGCTGGGCTTCTGCTGGAGCTGCCAGTCACTTTGAGCCTGGTTATGGCCATGAAAGCTTTCAGGGCTGGTTTGGGCTCGGCTGTGCTGTGTGCAGGAACCCGGCTGAAGGAAGGAGGTGCTCTGTAGAGGGCTCAGATGGGGGAAGCCTGATGGAAGAAGGCTTTCCCCTGCGATTTGGGCACAGCCGAGCTGCAACCAGCCCACAGATGGGAGCAGAATCTGGGAAATGAGTGCTGCTATCCTGCCCGTGTCTGCTGTTGTCATGGCTGTTTGTTTGTTTGCTTGCAAAGGACCGAAGCAATGATTTTATTTTGGAAGTGATTCAATAAAGGCTAGTTTTAAAAATCTCTTATCGAGGTAGCAATTATCTTATTTCTTGCAGAAGATTAATGTTTACCAAGTTGTAAGGCAGTGATTTGGATCTCTTGTGGCTTCTGTGCTGATTTCTGATTTGTGTTTTTTCCCCTCGTGTTTCAGCACAGACACAGTAATGCTGCACGACAGAACTGCACACACGTGGGTCTCCCCTGTGTCTCAGGGTGACGTGGTGATGTGCTGCATTTCCTATCCGTGTTTCTTCCAGAACTGCCAGATGTGATCCCTGCTCATGGCGTCAGGTTTTGTTGATTTTTCTCATGTTACTTATCTTTTTTTTTTTTTTTTTTTTTGTGACATTGGGAGCAAACAGTAGTTGGACATCTGGTTTCTGAGGGGGTGTGGGGTGCAGCTTTTGTTTCTTCCAGAGCAAGGAAATGAAGGCTGCTACTTCTGTTTGGCAGCGGGAGGAGGGATGGTGACGCAAATGATGCATATACTGAATGGAGCCCTTTTGCTGAAGGACATACAAAAGCAAAATACAGAAAGATATAATGAAATTTCTAAATCAAATTGAACATAACCACATAGCTGGCCTCCAAGCTGATTTCTCCTGGCTTCCTTTGCCTGTGTAACCCTGCCTACCTTTCTGCACTGTTTGCAAAACAGGACGCAGCCCCACGTTGCTTTTCCCCTTTTCTTGTGGAGGAACTGGGGATGTTCTGGGGGCTGAGGTGTGGGCTGGGGTCAGGTTTCCCCTTTTCTCTCCCAGGCACTGAGGTCGGTGTGCTGTGAGCTTCTGTTAGCAGTAGCTCTGGGTCCTGGAGAGCAGAATTTGTCTCTGCTGATGTATGTTGGCAGGTCCCTCCTTGTAGCTCCCACCTGGGTATAGAACAGCACGTTCATTTGCTGCCACTTGCATGCAGGACCTCTCCTGTAGGCATGAAGTCTGCTCCTCAGTCAGCTTGCCAAGAATTCGTTTGGACTTTGAGGTGCTGCGGTTGGGAATGGGCTGCGTGGATCTCTCCATTCCTTTGTGGTTCTGAGCAGTCACGGTTGGTGCTCCTGCACAGGGCCTGCGGTGTGCTGTGGGGCTTTTTCTGTAACGCTCCTTCATCTGCCCACGCTGCTCAGAAGGCCTTTGTGGTGGCTGCCCTAAAGAAGGCAAAATAAATCTGTCGAAATGCAGCGTCCAGGGAGCTGAGTTTCTTCTGGCAGGTTGAACACGGGCAGTGTTGTTGGCAATGGCTTTCCTTATCCCATATGCTGGGGGGTTCCCTGCCTGTAGCAGGGCCACCTTCCTGCCCTGTGCCCACCCACGATTCGGTGCTGTTCAGAGATGCTGGAGGCCTTACATCTTTGCCTGCTGCATTGCTGTGTCCTGATGCATGAGCAGCTTGAGAGAAGAGGGATGGAGCTGGGGTTACTCCTGATATTGGAGGCAGAGTCACTCCTGCTGTGAGCTTGGTGGGGTTACAGAGCTCTCTCATCAGCCCCATAAAAAGAAACAAGGTTTTGTATGGAAAGTTATTATTGTTCTCTGAAATAGGCAGGTTTGGGGGCACACAAAGCCTTCCTAAGGATTGAAAAATGCCCTGTTCCTGTTGTTTCAAAGCCCTTGTCTGAGAAGATGTGTAATTTCAGGAAGCACAGAGCTAATTATTTTCATTCACATTACTGTAATGTTTTCAGGAACAAAAATTTAAACTGGTTTTCAAGATTAATATTATTAGTCTAGAAAAAATGTCTGAAGTTAGAAAAGTTTTCAACCCAGGAACTGGCCTCGTGCTGGCTTTCTCTAATTACTCTGCCTGTTGGTATTCCCCTAGAGCCCAGCACCAGGAATCCTCACATAATAGGATGCAGATAGGTTTGAGCTGCTCCATGGGGAGGGCTGGGACAGGAAGGGATGAGTTCCATCTGACAAGCCATAGAGATGTTTGTAGCTGCTGGAAATTGTGCTGCTTCTCCAGGAGCCTGGTTGTGTACTGCTGCCCTGAGTGCGGTCTGCAGGGTCATCATTTAACAACCTGGGCACACAGCAGAGGTCAGGAGTCTGTAGTCAGTGAGCACATTCTTCAGGATACTGCTGGAGAGTGGGAGCAGAGGTTGCAGTAAATGCTGGGGGGGACTGCCAAGGTCAGGAATGCTGTCTGAAGGCCCACTCCTGGCCAGCAGGTCTGGCTCTGGGTGAGCTGGAGCTGCTCCCCATGTGTGCTGGGAGCTTTGTGAGTCCCTGCCAGCACAGAGCCCATGAGCCTTGTCACTGCCTGCGCCAGGCAGCCCTGCTGGTCAGTTTGATGTTACATCCCTGCTCTCAGGCTGTGAGTTTTCTACCCGCAACTGCCAAAAGTTCACTTTTCTTCAGGGAGTGGGGGTAGTGAGGAGAATGCCTCAAGTTTTAGACCAAACCAGCAAGTACAGAATTCCATTCAGCCTATCTCAAGAGCTGTTTATGTATTGAAGCCACTGGGGAGACCTTTAGAAAGCACACAAAGCAACAAACCAAACATGGAAATAATAGCTGTTTTTCCCCAGTGATATCTACCACCCAAAAAGGATGCTCTGGTTCAGAGTGTGGCCCCTCCAACTGGGGAGGTGCAGAGTAAATCCGAGCTGTTTGCAGCAGAGCTGCTCATGTTTCCACTGAGGGCTGACTTTGATTTCAGCTCCTGTTTTCCCTGGAAAGCAAACAGTCTTGTTTCTCTTGGATATAATAGGTTTAGGGAATGCCAGAAGGTTTCTCATTTCATGGTTGTCTGGCTTCTAGGCATGTGAGCAACACTGTTGCTCAGAGGCTGTTCTGCTGCAGCTGAGGACTGGAGCCCATCATGCTGGCTGAGCTCTGGAAGCATTTTGTGGCTCTGCCATGGGGAAGCAGAGCCTCTGACCCTCATCCCCTCTTCATGTTGGTCATCACAATCCTGCTTGTTATATTCAGGAGGTGATGCTTAGCATCTGTCTGTTTCCAAAGCAGCACAGTCTGAGGGGAGGCTGCAGTGTGTTGCATTGATGGGAATTCTGTACACCTGGCTGTGACTGAAATGGATGCAGTCTGAGGAATCAGCACCTATTAGCTTTAGAATTAAAGGGTAATAAACTTGTATTGGGATGTAAGACTTGTTGTGATTCATGGCATTTTTTGTATTGCAGTATCATGTCAGGTCCCTGGTTGCAATTGGGATCTTCTTAAAAAGACCACGCAGAGCACAGTGTAATGAGAAATGATTGAGACCATGCAGGACTTCCTGAGCAGGGCATCTGAGAGGCAGAATCACTTCTGAGAAAAGGCGAAACCATGTGGATGTAATGCTGACCTCCTGGAAGACAGCACAAATGTGTAGTTTAAAGGCGTCGTTTGTGTGGTTGCATCTCTCTGTGTGCTCTGCCATCTGCTTGGTGGCCAGCAAACCTGGTCCTTTGGGGGATGTACTGAAAGAGAATGTCAGTGTGTTATTGGCTGTCCTCATGCAGTGGTCTCATCCTGCTGTATGCACAGAGGGGAATCATAGAATCACAGAATGCCCTGGGTTGAAAAGGACCACAATGCATGGCCATGCTTTCTTAAACACTATAACTGCTTCCTGAGAAACAGTGAAAAGGGATCATGAAGCCATGGGAATCTCTAAAACCTCAGAAATGTTTTTGTGAGCAGTTAGTAAATGCAAGAGATGACGAAGTAAACCTTCATTTTTTTCCTTTCTTGCTCTTTCTGGTGAGGCAGCCTTTGCTTGTAAGGATGGGAATTCATCTGCTCTGAAATTTATGGCTTCTGTGTCTTTATTTTCATGAACTGTGGGTACTTTTCATGAGCTGCATGAATGAACGAGGAGCAACCATTGCTCCTAATGTGAGTTCTTGGAGTTCAGCATCCCCAGTGAGATGCAACCTTCTACACAGGCTTTTAGTTACCTCGTAATGCTCAGCCCAGAAGATCCCATCAAGAAGATCCCAATTCAAGATGTGCACTCTACTGAAGGACACCTTGATGCAAAGCCCTTTTGGCCCTGCAGGCTGAGGATGTGCCCCAACAAGGGGGGGAGAAGCTTCCAGCTTTTTTTCCCCACACTCCTCTCCTAGGTCAGGACCATCTATAAAATAACTGCTAAGTGATGGGAAACCACCTGGAATGAAAGAGCAGTTACAGATAACAGTTCTTTATTGGTGTCACTTCCTTATTTTGGAGACATTCTGTTAATGATTTTATGCACTTTATTCTTTTTTTTTTTTTTTTTTTTAATCTCCAACTGTCTTTAATTGTGTTTAGTCAAGCTGCACTTATCTATATCACTAACAACACCATCTTCCCTTCCCTAGGCTGAGGCCCTAAGCTGTATGGGCTGCAGCTTTTCTGTCTCCAGCATTACTCCTGTAGAAAGATTTGTTTCAAAAACCAGCCTGACAGTGGGGATTTGATGCCACTTTTCCGTGCAGGTGCCTCACTGATACTGTGATCAGCTGCATTTGGCTTGGCACTTCTGAGAATCATTAACTTCAGCAGGTGAGCTCTTTCCTTAGACACCTTGTATTTTAGGGAACATGTGTACACTCCCACACTGCCCACCATATTATAGAATCATATATAGAACCATAGAATGGCTTGGGTTGGAAGGGACCTCAAGGATCACCAAGCTCTGACTCCTCTGCCACAGGCAGGACCACCAACCTCCATATCTAATACTAGACCAGGCAGCCCCATCCAACCTGGCCTTGAACACCTCCAGGGATGGGGCATCCACAACCTCTCTGGGTCCCTTCTTAGCCCTTGTTTTATTTACAGATACATTTCTACTCTTCTATTGTAGAATTGCTGGGGGAACGATGGAGCTTTGGGCTCCAGCAGAACACTGTCATTGGTTTGTGATTGCAGAATTGGTTGGGCTCCTCTCTCTGAATGCAACAAAGGCTTCTGTTGGGTGCCAACTGATTGCATGGCATGCTGTGGCTGTGGTTGAATGGATTGTGCTCCAGCCCTGGAGTCTTAAAACTCAACCACAGATCTATCTCTTTATCTTGAGCACTCCTGAGAAATGCATCACTTGCAGCTTCCTGCCTCTGCTACCCTCTGAGCACTGCCAAAAGGAAGGGAATTGAGGAAAGCGTTCTTGCTGAGCATAGTTTCCTTAACGGCTGATACAGGAAGTCTGAAAGTTTGTTTATTTTTTGTTTGTTTGTTTTCCTTGCAAAAGGGATGTCTAATTCAATTTCTTTCCTGTAGGGCACCAGGGAAACTCATCCTGTTTGGGATCATGAAGATGGAATCAGGTGCACGCAGAAAATGCTGCTCATTTCCCTCCTCCTGCGCTTCTGAGAACAGTTTTTGAGCTCATGGCTCTTGCTAACTGTCACTTTGCTCTCCTGTCAGAAAAGAGTTTGTGGAGCAGTCTTGGCTGAGGAGACTTTAAGTCTCGATCCTCTTTGTAAATGAAAGCAAAACATATCAGAAGGGTAGAGTATTACTCTTTCATTTTATTTTTTTGGGGAGTGTTTTTTTTTTTTTTTGCTTTGCTTTGTTTTGTAAAACAGGAAGTTTAGACAAAATTGCACTTAAATGTGACTGGTCTCTTCCATTTGCCTTGTTTTGAGCGTTCTTGCCTACCTGCCTGATAGGAGCCAAGATGGGCACCTCGATACTAATTCATAGAACCATTTGAGTTGGAAGGGACTTTTAAAGGCTGTCAGATCCCACCCCTGCACTGAGCAGGGCGCCCACAGCTCCATCAGTGCTCACAGCCCATCCCCTGATCTTGGTTGTCTGCAAGAATGAGAAACCACTGCCTCTCTGGGCAACCTGTGCCACTGCCTCACTGCCAGTGGTGGAAAGCCTTCTTCTTTATATCCAGTCTAAATCTGCCCTCTGCACCCACTTGCAGTCAGGGATTGTCTGTAGCTTGGTGTTCCCAGAACTGATGTGCCTTCCCAGAAAATGCTGGAGGACTAATACTAAGGGACTGGTGTAGCTGGTGTCAGTGGGAAGCTGTGCACAAGCAGTGCCCTGTGGGCATGGCATGGGATACCCTGAGCTGCTGACATCACCACATCTAACAAGCCGCAGGGAAGGGGCAGGGTGAGATTAGATAGCAGAGACTGCGGAGGCTGTGCCTGGAGATGTGCCCTGGCTGCTGGGCTTTCTTGGCATAGGGGAAGAGCACTGCAGGCTCCTTTGTACTAGAGACCAAACTGATCCAAATCAGAGCATCAGAGGCCAAGTGGTGTTTAGTGCTCCCGCGTTCCAAATGTCCCCATGCTGTAGCAGATGTACATGTTCCCCTATAATGCAAAGTGTCTAAGGAAGGAGCTCATCTCACTCAGACCCACAGGAATGGACCTATAGTGAAACGCTGCTGGGTGAAATGGGAAATACGAGGAGATTTCACTGCTAGTATAAGAAGTGCCTGTTCTCCCCAGGCCTCCTGGCCATGCTCTCACCTTCTCGGGTCAGCTGTTACCTTGGGCAGTGCTGGGGTCCCCTCGGACCCCCCCTCTCCCTTGCTGGCACAGTCCCAGCAGGTACCCAGCCCTGGGGGCTCACGTTGTCAGCGCTGCCACTCCTGTGCAAAGCAGGATGGCCATCCAGTGGCTGATGCTGGGACTGCCCAGGAGCATCTTAGCCGGACCTTCTCCAGAAGGTGTGAGATGCCAGGCCTTACCTGTGGTTAGCAGCACGCATTGCAAAATTGCAGTGAGAAAGCTTTGTTGGGTCGTGCATGCTTTGGCACAGAATAAACCTTGATGGAGTATTTTTCTACTATATTTTTTTATATTGAAAACATATTGTCTGAATAGTTGGCCTTCCTATCTGGAAATGGCTGGGTGCTGTGTGAACTACTGCCTCTGTTTGGGTTAGGATTGGTTCCTCGTTCTGCAGACAGAGGATATTGTTCTTTCCTAATGTTTTTGTTTTCATCCAAAGAAGTTGTAGGGACTTCTGAAAGCCTGGGAAATAACTTCTGATGGTGTGTTTTCTTAGTGATAAGCACAACCTGATTGTGTGCTAGGCTTTTACAGTCTCTTAACAATGGTACATGCGAAAAGGTTGTAAACTAAGAGGGGAAATCTAGCTTAGATCTTGGAATGAAATTGCTTATTCAGAGAATGGTGAGGCTCTGGCATTGCTGCCCAGAGAAGCGAGGATGCCCCATCCCTGGAGGTGCCCAAGGCCATGGATAGACTCTGGGCAGCTGGATCTTCTGACCCTTTTTAGAAAGGAGGAAACAGATGAATGCCTTGCAAGCATATTTCTACAAGTATGTAGGAGTGAGCTTTTGGGCAGCTGCTTTTGAGATGGCATGTTAATGTTCTAAAATCCTCCCAGAACTAAGAAGGAAAGCAAAAATCTGAGACTGAGTGCCTTAAATTTATTGCTCTTCAAACATTATGGTCAGATAAACGTCCAATGGCAAAGTCTTTCTGCCTTCTTACTTGGAAAGAAACTGGGTGAAACTGGGTGGAGAGGGTCTCCCAGCAGCACCCAGCCCTGGGATGCTACAGGGACGGGGCAGCATCTCAGCACCACTACCCCAGGGTGTGCGATGCTTCCCCATTTGTGTCCTGATGTTTCTGTCCAGACCCTCCCTGGCTTCTTCCCCAGCTCCAGAAAGTCTCAGCTCAAGTGCTGCATGGCTTTTGCTTGTTCTCTCCGTGCTGTAAGAGATGATGGCACAGTGAGGTCCCAAGGCAGCACAGGCTTAGTTTCTGGGGTACAGTGTGAGTAGGGGACGCAGCTGTGCTCTGGTGCTGCCCTTTGTGTTTTATGGTCTGGCTGTGTAAACACTGCAGACAGCCACACATGTCTGATTAAAGCCCCATGGAAGGAGTGGTGTTTTTTCCACTTTAATTACACCTTTAGATTCTGATTGGTTCTCAGGGTGATGAACACTGAGCCAGAGGCTGCAGTGTTTAGAGCAGGCTGTGCTCTGAAGGCATGGACTGCAGGTGCTTCCAATTGGGAAAGACTTTGGAACATCTCAGTCTGTTTTCTCACTAGCCCCAGGTGCTGTAGATTTCTTCATACTCTGCAAAAGGGTGTGCAGTGGGTAAGGAGATGGCTGTGAGACGGCAGAGTACCCAGGTGGGGGGCTGCAGGGGCAAAGCTGGATGGCAACAGCCTGCATCAGGCCAGGTTTGCTCAATTTTAGATTCTTTTCTATGAGAAAAAGGACCAGTGTTATCAAGTCCGTCTTTGTCAGTGCTAGATCTGGATTTTTCTTTTTTAAAATTTGAGTTTACCTTCTGGGTTTAAGCAGACTTATGAGGAAACAACCACTACTGATCAATAGCTGAAATAAAGCTTCTGCTGGTAGGAATGCAGCTGCTCTCACATGAGCATGCAGGTACTTGGTTGCAAGGAAAGCTGCAATGAAGTATTAGGGGAGTAGATCCCATAACAGTCACTCCAGCCCCCTTTTTTTCCCACCTATCTCCTAAATGTCACTTGGTGGTTCAGCATCCCCTTTCTTCACATAATGATTATAGTCATAATAATCCAGGCTTGCAGTGTAACTCCTCTCTCCCTTTCTGCATATGGTCATCTCAAGCTGCTGTGCCAGCTGATGCTTAATTATCAACTCATTCAGATCAAGGCTTTATGATATGTTTCCTCTCCTGCTTTCACTATGGGGTGGGGGTTAAGGGTTTGACCTTATTATGCTGTAAGAGTATACAATATATTAATTTGTTTTGGCTGTATTTGCTCCCCCAGCTCCATAGGAGGGATGAAAAACTTTCAGAAGAAAACCAACAATATTTGTTTGGCAAATACACGACCTGTAGATGCGTAATTGTTTTTCATGACCTTAAAACTTCATGCCAATGATCTAAATCTGGTCGGTTGCACAAAAATGTGCATCTGCCAGCTCCAGCAAAAAGCTGTCCTTGGGGAAGTGATGCTAAGAGGGCTGAGGAGAGGAAGGTCCCCATTGGAGCATTGCAGAGCAGTTTGCAGGCAGTCCTGGTTGCACACATGGGAGCCTGGTGGCTGTGACTTGTTGCTTCCTAACCTGGAGCCTTTCACCCTTTGCAACTCACTGTGCTCCTGTTTGCCATCCTCGTCTCTACAGCTGATCTCAGCAGCTGTGATGGGATTATCTCATGATTATCTGCAGGTTGTGCATGGTGCCAGTGTGCATCTTTTGATCTGTAGTATCCAAGTCTCTATGAATTCATTTACCTTTGCTAGGGACAATAAGAGAAGGACTTGGTTTGCACTTCCAGTTTCACTGAGTAGTGAGGGAAAGCTGCATTTGTTCCTGGGCAGTGTGTGAGAGCACTGAGCGTACATAAGGCAAACTGTGATGGAGTTATTTCCTGGATCTTTCCTTTTTAGAGGGCTATGCAGAAAAGGAGATTTTATCCAGATAACACCTGCAGGCAGATATTATGTGGGTGGGATGGACGGTGCAGTGAAGAAGCACTTAAGAAAATTGGATGTTGTTGTGTAACGTGGGAGCACGTATCCTGCTGGGGAATGAAGCTGAAGGAGATGAAGGCTCTGGGGGCCCTGTTTCCATTCCTGATGGACTCTTTTACTTGTTGGTGTTTCGCTATCATTTTGTGATATGATTTTCAATAATTTCTGGGTTTGAACCAACTTCACGTTGCATTAAATGAACCCTGTATTATAGTTTGGATGTTTCTCAAGTGTTTCTAATTTTTCTCATGTACCGAAGTATTAAATAGCATAATTATTCGTGTGTGATTTTTTTTGTGGAAAATCCCAAATTGGCTAACCTCATTCCTTCTCATTTTTCAAAAGCTTTGGGCTGTTTGGATTCCTGCTGATTCCATCTTTCTGTCCAGTTTTTAGGTGTTTGTGTCTCCAGTGTGCTCTTCCAATCAGGGAAAGAAAATGAGCTTGAAACCATAACTCTGGTTGATTAGTAATTAGTTTTTGTTGGAGAATAAGATCATTTGTCTTGATGCCTGCTCTACTGAATTGGGCTGAATCCAGACATCTAGTTTATGTATAGGTGACTATCAGCCTTGTGAGTTAGTGTATCAGTGCATATCAGTAAGTGCATATCAGGTAGATGGGCTGGAGCATGTATTGGACTTATAGTGTTTGAGTTCCCATTGGCCATTTCCTCCATAAACAAAATCTGTACACACTGAATTTTAGCTTGTTCTCTATGTCCATCCTCATATCTTCTGATGTTGTGTTCCACTTTGTAGCTCAGTTCTACCTGCAGTTGTATTTCTAGCATACATATCATAATCTCAATGTCTGTCTTGAATGGCTAATAGGGAACTGAGAGCTGGCAGCTGTGCAGAAGGGTGGTTGGACACTGTGTCAATAGCCTGTGCTGCCTCCCTTCTGTTCCCTTTTGGCAGAAGACTTCTGATCGTGCCTTCACAACAAGTGCATTTGGGCAATAGAGCTCTTTCATTTTAATAAATGAAAAGCTGGAGGCAGTAGTGGCTGCTTGAGATCTATGGCTATTCCTAAAGCAGGAAGGGAAAATGGAAGTCTACATTTTTGTT